CAACTCCTGGGCTCAAGCGAGTCTCCTGCCTCAGCCTCCCAAGTAGCTGGGACCACAGGCGCCCACCACAATGCCTGGCTATTTTTTGGTTGCAGTCGTCATTGTTGTTTGGCAGGCCTGGGTTGGATTCGAACCCGCCACCTTGGGTGTATGTGGCTGGAGCCTTAGCCACTTGAGCCACAGGCGCTGAGCCGAATGGCTGGTTCTAATGTTCCAATAGCCCCCTGGTGCAGTGTTGATCCAGGGGAGAAGTATGGCTGTGTGGTTGAGCTTTAAGTAAGGGAGGCCTTATTCTATGTCCTGGGGGAAGCTTGAGCAGATACCTGCATCTCCTAACTTCAGTGTTAACACTGTTTATACTTCTCTTATTTTTATATTTGTCGCCTCCTTTTATGAGCAAAGACTCTCTTCCAACCCCATAACCATGACCAAAAACCATCTGCTGTTTGTCTGGCTTTATTTGTTGCCATTTCATCTCTCTGGCCCTCTGGTGGACACATTTGCTTTAATAGTCACCTGCGCAAATCCCTCTTGTTGAAGCTATTTTTTTCAGATTGGGGTGATGAAGGCTTTGCAAGCTGTGGGCTCTGAATTTGCCTGTAGACTCTGATTTTTCATCTTTCCAAGTAATACTCAGCTTTTCTACATAACAAGAAATTTGTTTAATAATAATAGCTACTACTTTGCATAGTATTTATGATAAGCCCAGTGCTCTATGTAAGTCATTTAATCCTCCCAATAGACCAATGTAAAGATATTTTTGAAAGGATATTCATATATTATACCCACTTTGCAGATGAAAACACTGAGACAGAAAAAGTTTAAGTAATTGGTGCAGAGTGTTTTTTAATTAATCATTTTATTTTATTTTATTTTGCGACAGGATCTCACTCACTATCTCACCCTGAATAGAGTGCCATGACATCATAGCTCACAACAAACCTCAAACTCTTGGGCTCAAGTGATCCTCTTGCCTCTGCCTCCCAAGTTGCTGGGACTATAGGCGCCCACCACTATGCCACTAAACCTAAAAATAGGTTTTCTATTTTTAGTAGAGACAGGGTTTCACTCTTGCTCAGGCTGGTTTCAAACTCCTGAGCTCAAGCAATCCCTCGGCCTCCCAGTGTGCTAGGATCGATTACAGGTGTGAGCCACCACACCCACCAATACAGAGGGTTTTTTTTGATTTTGGAGATAATAGAGAATTTTGAGGTCAGATTTCAGTGAGTTTATTTCAGTGAGTTTACTGGACTTTCTAGATTATTTTAGTGATGACGTATTGTTTTCCAGAAGACTCTTCAAATTCAGAACAAGACATGGACAAGCTGGGAGGAAAGTCACCCCCGCCTCCTCCCCCACCCCCTCGGCGAAGCTACCTGCCAGGATCAGGGCTCACCACCACGAGGTCGGGCGATGTGGTCTACACCGGCAGAAAGGAGCCCACCGCCACTAAGGTCTGATGGGTCTATTAGGTTTCCAGGTGGCTATTTCCTAAAATGTCAGGGTTTCAGGCAACTGTCTGTGTCCTCAGTTAGTTCTTGAGAGAGGGCTGAAGAGTCCCATGGGCTGGACAGTCCTCCACATCCTTTTGTAGTTGGTATGCTAAGTTCTGATAGGTAGATTGGTGGGAGTTCCCTCCTCCCCAGGTGTGAGCAAGCTCTTGGGACAGAGCTAAGTGGGCAGCACTGAGATGGGGGCCTATGGCCCTGCCCTTGTCCTTTTTCCCTAGCAAAGCCAGATTTCTAACTAACTAACAGCTTAAGCCCTGAGGAACTGGTTTGTGGGTTCAGTCGATGCCCTTGAACATGGTTCTCTCTGTCCAAACATAAAAGTATCAAGGCAGAGAAGAAAAATGTGACTCTACCCTGCTAGACCTCCAGGAGCGGCTCAGCACAGACTGGGAAGTGCCGGCCAATGTCACTGGACTAGACGCTGCAGCGTGCTTCATCCTGACTTGACTTTTAGCTGTGACAATGTGAAATGCAAATCACGAGCTGCTTCCCAAGCAGGGGGAGGCGAAAGGAAAATTGTCTAACAAAGGTGACAGAGACAAGCCGGCACGGTTCTGGGAGTTTTTATAGAAAAATGTTCAGTGGGCTTTAGATTCCACTTAACTAGGCAGGTTTTATCTTTTATGTTAAATGCAAAATACAGTTTCCAAGGAGCTGTCAATAGGGGAGGGCCTTTCCTGAAGGGACTGAGGTCGGGGAGTTACAAGTACATCATAACTCATCAATCCATTCACCAAAATGACAGTTTGTGCAAACAAAACCCAAATTAAGTGCAAGAAGGGAGAACAGCTTTTCAGCTGTCTTATCAGCTAACAGCAAGGAAGCCAGGCTCCTAGGCGTCATGTCACCTGTCCCCCTGCTTTGCTGGCACCTGGGAGGTGTTAGGCCAATGTCTGTGGTTTGAATCTCCCATAGGCAAGCAGTGAGGATGCCGGACCAAGCCCACAGACCAGAGCCAGTAAAGGTCCAGCAGAGGAGCCTGCTTCAGCCTGGACCTCGTCCCCACCGCCTGTCACTACCTCCTCAAAGAACGAGGAGGAGGAAGAGGAAGAAGGAGAGAAAATAATGGCTGAACTGCAGGTATGTGGAAGGGGTGATGGATACTGGCCCTGGCAGTTCCATGGGGGACTTCTCACAGACTTGTCAGCTAAAGAGAACTGGCACAGGGCCCCATGGAAACTGCATCTTCTGGTCTTGGCCTCAGCACACTTTTTAAGGCATGTGCAAAGAATGACCATCTCACAATACAACTCAAGAAGGCTTACACGCTTTCCTATACAATTTACTTCCTTTCCTTCAGTCTTAATAGTCTGTGCTCCAAGAAAGCAATTAAGATGGGAATTAGAATACTGGCCATTGTCTTGGTAAGGACTGATCAAATCACACCTTAGGGGGGTTTGTGCTCTTCAGCTTTACCACTGACAGTGACCTTGAATCATGGACCCAAAGCCAATGACCGACCTCCGATAGTTCATACTAAGTTCCAGCTCAGTGTCGATGTCATCTTTTCAGATACTCTGAGAGGCTAAATGATTTTGCTTTCCATTTCGCCTATGGGAGAAACAATAACTTTATTAGTTTTAGGTAACTTTATTTTTTAACTAACTGACACAGTCTACTCATAAGATAAAGGACAGGGTACTGATCCCACATTCAGATCATAGAATGCCCTCTGTTTATGTTCTAAGGTCTTATCTAATCAGAGACATGTACACAATTCCTATACCAAAGTCTATTTGTAGAGTACAATTACCCTCTCAGTATCTATAGAGAGATTGGTTCAAGGACCTTCCTCAGATACCAAAATCCACAGTTACTCAAATCCCTGATATAAAAAGGCATGGTATTTGCATCTGACCTGTGCACATCCTCCTGTATAAGTCATCTATCTATCACTTATAATGCCCAATGCACTATAAATACTATGCAAATAGTTATTATACTCTGTCATTTAAAGAATAATGACAAGGAACAAAGTCTTCTCATGTCTAGTAAGGATGCAGTTTTTTTCCTGAATATTTTTCTTCTGATGCTGATGGAATCCGTGGATGTGGAAGCCGTAGATACAGAGGGCCAACTCTGTTTCATTTGACTCACAGTATTATAGGATTTTTCCATTAATCAAATAAACCACAAATGCCCTGGGGTCCCAAAGCATGTTGCCGTTTCTAACCATGTGTCAATGCTTTTTGTGCAACCCCCTGAATTCGCCTTCTTCACTTGGAGTAGGGAGAAGTTTGAAACCACACCATTTTCACTGCATTCGGTCTACTGTGGTTTCCATGGTGATAAGGACCAAAATTGAGCAGCTTGGCTGGTTGGAAAACAGGGCTGCTGGCTGCTTTGTCACACGCCTGGGGCCTTTCCAGCCCCGCTAAAACTCTCAGACTGGCCTGGGAGGTCCCTTTGACAAATCAGACTGTTTAGAGGTTTTTAGAATGGTTAGAGAATCTTGTTGTTGTTGCAATTTGACTGGGGCCAGGTTTGAACCTGCCACCCTCGGTATATAGAGCCAGTGTGCCGCCCTACTCACTGAGCCACAGGTGCCGCCCATGGTTGGAGAATCTTATAGGAACTATAGAATTTCTAGGCTTTTTGAATAATCCGATACTAGCCCTCGAAGAGAAGTAATATATTTATCACAGCTGCTCACAGCCCACCACTTGAGGATATTTCCCTCCATTGAAATTTAAATCTCTGATGCCATCTCCCATAGGACCGCTTTGTAAAGGATGGAGAATCTGCTTCTAGCAATTTTATCTGTGGTTAGATAATAGTTGTGAATGAAGTACTCTAATCCTAACTGATCCAAACCCTGTTAGCCTCCTGCTGGGATAAAGACCCATCAATGGGCTCGGCGCCTATAGCTCAACCGGCTAAGGCGCCAGCCACGTACACCTAAGGTGGCAGGTTCAAATCCCCAGCCCGGACCCGCCAAACAACAATGACGGCTGCAACCAAAAAATAGCCGGGCGTTGTGGCGGGCGCCTGTGGTCCCAGCTACTTGGGAGGCGGAGGCAGGAGACTCGCTTGAGCCCAGGAATTGGAGGTTGCTGTGAGCTGTAATGCCACAGCACTCTACCCAGGGGGACAGCTTGAGGCTCTGTCTCAAAAAAAAAAAAAAAAAAAAACATCAATGACGGCCAGTGGCCAGGCTGGTTCCTTTGCCTGTAAGAGCAGTCATGGAGCAACTTTATGTGATCGCCAGGCATCTGAAATCCAGGGCCTACCAGTCCAAAGGAGAAGGCCTTGGTAGAAGTTGAAGTAAGCAGATGGCCCAAACATTTCCAGGGCAAGGTAGGACTAGCATGTCTAAGGAAGTAGCTAGTAAGGGGGCCAGGGACAGCAGAGAACAAGCAGAGTCATGGAAGAAAAGGCCAGAGAAGGCCCTTAGCCATGAGCTAATTCAGATTTTAGGACCAGTGCTAAAGTGTACCCTTAGGGAGGACATGCATTACTCTTTCTGCCTATGGAGTTATTTCCAAATGACAACATTTGACGTCAGAAAAGTACTAGGAAATTATTTAAGATGATTTGTTTAAATTAATGAGTTTTAATAATTTAATTTTTAATTTAATTTTTTTTTTTTTGAGACAGTCTCACTCTGCCACTCAGGCTAGAGTGCCATGGCATCACAGCTCACAGCAACCTCAATCTCTTGGGCTTAGTCTATTTTCTTGCCCCCAGCCCAGCAACTGGGACTACAGGCACCTGACACAACACCTGGCTAGTTTTTCTAATTTTTAATGGAAATGGGTTCTCGCTCTTTCTCAGGCTAGTTTCCAACTCCTGAGCTCATGGGATCCTTTTGCCTTGGCCTCCCAAAGTGCTAGGATTACAGGCATGAGCTACCATGCCTGGCCAGTTATGGATACCAGTGATATCCATAAACTTGGTCCCCTGGGTTATCTGTCTCTCCTGCTCTTGTGATCATCCTGTCTGGACACTCTCTGGATGCCTGCTTCCCTCTCTGCTGGCACACACAGTCTATCTTTGGCTGAGGACCGGCCTCCCTGACACAGGGTTCATGTGAGCAGCTGTTGTCTATCGTCAATGATCGTCAGTTTTCAGTGACAGATCTCTAGGGCCCAGGCAGCTTCTAGGCCACTCAGAATCACGCAGATGCCAAGGAGCATCGATTTATTCTAAATGAGCCTCCGAACACAGCCGTACCTGTTACTATAACAGAGAATGGATTGATAAGGATTACTTTTATTTTAAGGTTTACTGTGTTTAAAATATCTTGTGAGGCTCGGCGCCTATAGCTCAACCGGCTAAGGCGCCAGCCACGTACACCTAAGGTGGCGGGTTCGAATCCAGCCCAGGCCCGCCAAACAACGATGACGTCTGCAACCAAAAAATAGCCAGGCGTTGTGGCGGGTGCCTGTGGTCCCAGCTACTTGGGAGGCGGAGGCAGGAGACTCGCTTGAGCCCAGGAGTTGGAGGTTGCTGTGAGCTATAATGCCATGGCACTCTACCCAGGGGGACAGCTTGAGGCTCCGTCTCAAAAAAAAAAAAAAAAAAAAAAAAAAATCTTGTGAGCTGTAAAATTTTAATAAAACTCTTGGGAAAAAGAAAGAGAGAAATGGAAAGATGGCTTTTTGTTTTAATTCAACATTTAAGTCAACATTTTTAAAAGGTCAAAGCAAGAAGCCGTACTAAGTAAAAATCAGGTTCATCCCAGACAAGAAGAGAGAGGGCTCCTTTTCATGGATCTGTCCATTTCATCTGCAAAGTAAGCAGATGGCCCAACCTTTCCCAGGGCAAGTTAGGACCAGCATGTCTAAGGGACAGCATGGCCTAAGAAAGCAAGGAAGTCTTGGTTCCAGGCTCAGCCCCCAAGCCAGCTTTGCCAACACGAGGTTCAAGGAGAGAGGAATTTCAGGGTGCTGCCTCCCTGGCGTGAGCCTCTGTGCAAGACTTGGGGTTGGGGTCCCCAGGCCTCTGGATCCTGCCTGTCTCCTTCCTTTCTCCTGGGTACACTAAGATCACTGTTAACCTCAGTATTTTAATTCCTCAGGCATTCCAGAAGTGTTCTTTTATGGATGTAAATTCAAACAGTCACGCTGAGCAGTCCCGGGCTGACAGTCACCTTAAAGACACTAGGCCGGGCACCACAGTCCCACCCAAGGAGAAGAAGGTAAAGTGGCAATTCCACACGTGCCACATGGCTGGGCAGTCCTCCTTCCTTGCTCTGACACTAACACGGCTCTTTTGGCTTGAACTTCATGCCCCTTCTCTCTATTTTTCCATCTCTCTCTTTTTTTAACAAATGGAGACACAGATGTAGGTTCAGGTCAGAGGTATCTGGCTCAGCTTTTCAGAGCAAACACCATGCTCTTGCATACAGTATACAATAGTAAATGCAAAATTTAAACAATATCATCCCAAACTAAACTCTATTCACCTTTCAAGATTTTCTAGAACAACTCTAGGAAAAAAATAGAAATAGCAACCAAATATATAGCATTTTTTAGAATTTTTACTGTGTTTTCTAGACAAAAAACAAACAAAAAACACCTATGTTCAAAATAGGTAAACCTTAGATTTGGGGAAGAAAAGGCCAGCAGGAGATACCTGCTGTATACACAGTAACCTCCTAGAGGTTGCATAATATTTGCACATATGTCTAAGAATGCTAATCAGAATTTTTGCAAAGTATTACCAATGTTTTAAAGTGTACCTTTCAAGATAGATAGAGTAGCATGTTTCTAATGTTAAAATATATTTGTGACTTCAAGAAAAGATGTCCAGGCTCTAAAACAAAGTCCACTATCAGCAAAGAGCCCCTGCCAAGGAGGCCAACCTGTTTCTCCCTGAGCCCTGGAGGAGCCCTTGTGTGAACTGTTGGCCACATAACTGGCATATACATTCATAGGAAGAAGGGAAATCTCGCCCTGTACCAAGGGAGAAAACAGTTAGATTATCATTGATAAACCTTCCTCATAAAGAAAACCACCTACTAATTTGAATTGAACCCAACCCATGAAATCACATCAGAAATATATTGATGATTCGGTATGTGGAATTTGCTTACGTGACCTTATTTAAATGAGTTCGTGGAAGGCCTGGCACAGCATCTGGGGACCAATGTGACCAATTCTGTCTAGAACCCTGACTTTGTCAACTTGGAATTTCTTGAAGATCTCTCTGGAGACAATCATTGTCAAATTTTTCTAATTCACTAGAAAATTACGTGAGATTTCTTCCCCTCAAGTTACAAATCTGTATCCCATTGATTTAATTTATCTCAATCTTGGGTCCATCAGATAATAAGCTGGTCTTTATTGAGTGCCCAACACTGCATCTAGTCACAGGCATGTTTTCTGGATAATACTCAGTAGATTGACTTCATAATAACCACAAGTTATTAAAATGTTATATCTTAACCATTTTTCTTCTGTCATGAAGCTCTAACCTAATTCTTGACTTTTATGCAATTTTCCTGTCTCTCATTTTTGTTTATTGTCTATATGCATAGTAAGTGTGCTTCTCTCGTTGTCTAAACAATTCAAATCTCAGAGCCTATTAACAGATATTAAAGAGGCTTAGTTACCTTTACTGCAGAGTCTTAACCATCTACTTCTAAGACTTAAGAAATCATTATGAGTTGACTTGACAATGTGAGCAAGTTCATGCACTTGCTTTGCCACAATTCATTCTTTCTTTCTATCCCAGTGATAAAAAAGGATATTGGTCTTGATCAGTTTTAAAATACATTAATTGCAGGGGGACATTTGAAATATTTAAGAATTGAATGGCACAGGCCCTGAACAACCAGAACAGACACTAGCCCTAACCCCCAGTAAATGAACCAGCAGAACAACCATCATGCGTGTGTCTCCTTTAAGTCACATGCCAATTCCTTCTTTGATGGACAGGGTTAATTCGCACTTGGTTCCTACCTAGCATGATATGCTAACTCCATGTTTGGAGTTGACACCTTAGGCTGAAACCTCATTTATTTTTCTTCTTTAAAACTTTTTCCTCAATGTGCTAATTGTTCTCTATTTTAAATTTAAAATTCCACAATAGAAGTTATGTAGGTCATCTGCAGCTGAATCATTGCACTTGTCTGGTAGGTTGACCAGGAGTGAGCAGAAGTTAAACAGGAGGTATTTGGAGGCTAATGGACCTCGTAACTTGCTCAGTATTTCCATCTGATCAACCCTGACTTTGTGTGATATTTTCCTTGAGTGTAAATAAACACTCATTCTTTTTTTTTTTTAACCAGAGTCTCACTCTGTCGCCCTGGGTAGAGTGCCATCGTGTCATCATAGCTCTCATCAACCTCACACTCTTGGGCTTGAGCAATCCTCTTGCCTCAGCCTCCCAAGTAGCTGGGATTACAGGCATATGCCACTATGCCCAGCTAGTTTTTCTATTTTTACTCGAGACAAGGTCTCGCTCTTGCTCAGGCTGGTCTTGAACTCCTGAGCCAAGCAATTTACCCACCTTGGCCTCCCAAAGTGCTAGGATTACAGACGTGAGCCACTGCACCTGGCCATACTCATTCCAGTTTAACTAGAGCAGTAGGATTGCTCTGAGTTGACTTTGGCTCAACCTGGGTAATTGTGCTTTATGGCATCATTGCTTTAATCAAGCAGCCTTCATGGGAATTGTTCTATCTTACGGCAATCAGTCACTTTTCCCTCTTGGGCTTCTGAAACAAGAAGGAAGGGCAGTATGTGCCAGAACGGGCAAGGCATGCTAGCGGCAGTGCTGGGGCTGATCCACCTGTGCTGGGAAACGCCACACATGCAGGTGAACCACTTTAAACACCTGGGTCCTTATTTTGGGGTCCTTCAGTCCTGCATCTTGGTGTATCTTCATTCTGTCTCTGAAAATACAGAGAGGGAAGGCACAGAATCATGATGTCACAGTACCGTTTTAGCCTCGAATATCCGCTTTGTCAACGGTTAAGGTTATATGGTGACAGCATTGTCACCAAAATTTTAGATTTGCTCGCCATGGCTATTGTGACACTTCATGCTTGCAGTACAAACTGCAAAGACATTTTTGATACATCATTTGATCAAGGGAAAATAATGTGTTTTCCATGCCAAAGTCCCATACCTAACAACCACTGCAGATACTCTTAGAGGACAATTTCCAGAAAAGAAGCCAAAGTGAGACTGAAATAACTAGCTGTAAGAAAAACTAAAAATCTCCTAGTTTAGTTATAAGCAAGAAAACCGAGGCCCATAGGAGTGAAATGACTTACCTACAGTAACACAGTTAGTGGCAGATCTGTATTAGTATCAAAACCTGCTGGCGCATCCATTGTGCTTTGTGGTTTTAGATTCTGCTCAGCTCACAACCCCATGTTGAAAGGAGAACCGTGTTGACACAGAATCTGTCCCTTTGTTCTCTTAACTGCTCCCCCTCCCCCACAAAATTTGAAACACTTGAAGTATTTTGCTAATTGAGATTTTCATCTTGTGCAAACACAGGGCATTTTTGGAAGTTGGAGAACAAAGCAATCCAAGGTAAACAGTTAGAGGCTTTGAATTGTGTGTCACGGATGTGTTTGTTCCGCATGTCTTGGAAACGTTCATTAAAGGCACCATTTAGTGGTAGTCCACTGTGGGGAGGGGATGTGGCTTGTGGAGTAACATGTCCTACACTGTTCTACCAGAATTTGGAATTTTTCCACGAAGATGTACGGAAATCTGATGTCGACTATGAAAATGGCCCCCACATGGAATCCCGCAAGGTGAGTTCAACCCATCTGTGTTCTGGCCGATACCACACAAATTAATCACCTTCTTCTGCGAGATCCTTTTCTGATTGAATGTGTGTGGTTTCCCTCCATTCTCCTTCTCAGGTTACCACAGGGGCTCTCAGACCTAGTGACCCTACTAAGTGGGAAAGAAGAATGGAAAGTAGTTTTTCTGATGCATCAAGAACATCAGAATATAAAGCCAACACCATAATGAAGGAAGATTCTGTATCCAGTATGAATTTACTCAGAGACAGTGGAAACTATTCCCAGAAAAATGTGCCTAAGGCCAATGTCAGTCTCTCTGGCATTAGTCCCTTAGAAGATGAAATGAACCAGGGGCCTAAAGTCTCGGGACTGCAGCACCCTCTACCCAGCACTGAAAATCAGAAGGTGAATTATGGAAGGACAAAAGAAACAGATCTCCAGGGACATGAGGAGGCAGACAAGTGTCACCTCCCCTCTCCTGCTAGAGTGACGGAGTTCACTGTTCACGATGTCAGTCGTGACACCAAAACACAAGATCACGCGGTTCCCGTGACAGATTTGAGCCAAGTGATTCTAAGACCCAAGGGGGCTAAGCAAGCTAACGTGAGCCCTAGTGAGGATGGAGAATCAAGTCCAAGTTCTCCCACTGAAGAAAGTGCGGCCGCCGACAACATTGCCTTCATGATTACCAAAACGGCTGTCCAAGTTCTCTCCAGCGGGGAGGTTCGAGATATAGTGAGCCAAAAGGGAGAGGATGTACAGACGGTAAATATTGATGTAAAAAAAGAGAGGACCTCCCAGCAAGAAGGGCCTGACAATGAAGAGCCAGTCGTGTGTCTAGACAAGAAGCCGGTGATCATTATTTTCGACGAGCCCATGGACATCCGGTCTGCCTATAAGAGACTTTCCACTATATTTGAGGAATGTGATGAGGAATTAGAGAAAATGATGACAGAGGAAAAGATAGACGAGGAAGAAGAGGAGGAAAACGGTGACCCTGGGGTCCAGAACAACGCTCCCCAAACGTCTCATAGGAAGGTTCCCTTGGACAGTCTTAGAACAGGAGAACAGGCGGAAACAGAATCGCAGCCACACTCCCTGATGGCCGAGCGCAAAACCCCAGGAATGAGTAAAACCGACCTGGGCAGGTTCAGCCAGGCGGATCCTCCCAGCGCAGAAAACAAGGGGGACGATGGGACCGATGACCAGTTTGAAAGCCCCAAGAAAAAGTTTAAATTCAGATTCCCTAAGAAGCAACTCGCAGCCCTCACTCAGGCCATTCGCACAGGAACCAAAACGGGGAAGAAGACGCTGCAGGTGGTGGTGTACGAGGAGGAGGAAGAGGATGGTACTTTGAAGCAGCACAAGGAGGCCAGGCGCTTTGAAATCGCTCGGTCTCAACCCGAAGGTGTGGCTAAGAGTGTGGCTGGGAGAGAAGGGCAGCCTGGTCTCGAGGGCACAGCTCAGATTTCAAGAACTGATGAAATTAGAAAAAATACCTACAGAACGTTGGACAGTCTGGAACAGACCATTAAACAGCTGGAAAACACCATCAGCGAAATGAGCCCCAAAGCCCTGGTTGAGACCTCCTGTTTTTCCGACAGAGATTCCGTTGCAAGCTCATCCCTCATAGCCCCAGAGGCACCTCCCCGACCCTTGCTAGTTCCGGACGAAGCCCCCACTGCCCTAGGGCCCCCCACGTCAATAACTACAGCTTCACGTAAGGTATCTTGGCCTGGTGGAGAAATAATAAAAAATAAAAACCAAGCCAGCTGCTTTCTTAAATCTGCCATAATCACCATTAGCAAAAGGTGTCTTGTGATTTAATCGCTTTCTCTGAGGTGGCGCGTGATACCCTCTCCTCATCCTCTGTTCCCCACACCTCCCAAACACCCTCTAGACGCCTAACCGCTCGTTGATTCTGTGGTTTACCTCTGTTGCTGATCGGTGTTGGGTCAACGCAAGGATGCTATGGAGATGATTGCTCTGACACTCACATTAAAATCCGTTTGATCAGTAGTGAGCAGTTTGATTCTGTTTGATTCTTCCGATTAACCCCAGTTGGTGTCTCCTAGATCTGTTCTGCATGTAGAGCTGTGGCTTCTCACCCCGAGCTTCTCTGCGCACACTGAGGCAGCCTGGGGGAATCACCCACTCATGCATTCTCCTTCTCTTTCCCTTCTCCCCGGTCCTTCCCGCAGGGCCCCAGTGGGACCCCGCAGACAAGCAGGATGCCCATCCCCATGAGCACCAAGAATAGACCCGGAAGCCTGGACAAAGCTGGCAAGCCGTCCAAACTTCAGGATCCCCGCCAATATCGTCAGGTAGTTTTACCTTAAACCCAATTTTGGATGGACGCTATTTCAGTTAAGAGACAAGTCACTGACTCAGTTTATGCCAAATATCGTGGGTTTTTTTTATTTGTTTGTTTGTTTGTTTGTTTTGTAAGATACGTTTGGTTTATGTAGCCAGCCTGGATCTGGGGGCATGAAGAAAGTCCTAAAAACCTTTGTTAAACTTCTCACCACGCTTCTGCATGCTCGCAATAAAACATCTTTTACTTTGTGACTCCAAATTTTAACTGTTAACACATGGTGCCAGGCCAGTTGACTTTTCTTTGGTGACTGTAATGCTTCCTCCCAACACCTTGGGAAAGAGACAGACCAACCTGTTGTTGAACTGCCCTTAAAGCCACCAGTACTAACGTCTGTGTTGACCGCGTTCCGTTAGCGCTCGTTAATCCATCGCAAGGCCGGGCCCCCACCCCAGTAACCTCCCTGGCGCTCGGAAAATGATAGAATGATGCAACTGTTCTCGCAAATAACTTATTCCTTTTCTCTTGTTCTATCCTTTGCTATGTAGGTGGGGGGTTTCTACTAGGTTCAGTACAGCTGCGGTCCCCAAACCCTGGGCTGTGGACCAGCACATGGCCTGTTAGAAACCAGGTTGCAGAGCAGGGGGTGAGTGGCAGGTGAGCGAGCAAAGCTTTATCTGCACTTACAGCCGCTCCCATCCCACCTCTATCCACGGAAATATTGTCTTCTGTGAAACCAGTCCCCAGTGCCAAAAAAAGATTGGGGACCGCTGCAGTACAGCACAACAAGACTTAGCTCAGGCCTTGAACTGTTTTGTTGTTTTTCTTTTATTTAATTATTCTCAGGAGGGCTGTGTTGCCAGGCCCTGTGGGTCGATCATGTTGCCGGCTTTCTGACGAACTGTCTCCCGCCATCTTTGTTTGCAGGCTAATGGAAGTGCTAAGAAAGCTGGTGGGGAATATAAACCTACTTCCCCCTCCTTACCTGCTTCTAAGATTCCAGCCCTTTCTCCCAGCTCTGGGAAAAGCAGCTCTCTGCCCTCTTCTGCTGGTGACAGCCCTAACCTCCCTAATCCACCTGCTACTAAACCGTCAATTCCTTCTAACCCTCTCAGCTCCCAAACAGGACGACCCGCTCACTCTGCCTCCCTCATCCCTTCTGTTCCTAATGGCTCCTTAAAGTTTCAGAGCCCCACTCACACAGGGAAAGGTCATCACCTTTCATGCTCACTGCAGACTCAAAATGGCCGAGCCGTCCCTCCTTCCTCCGCCTCCTCTTCCCCTCCCTCCCCTGCCTCCCCCACCTCCCTGAACCAAGGTGCCAAGGGCGTCAGAACCATCCACACTCCTAGCCTCACCAGCTACAAGGCACAGAATGGAAGTTCAAGCAAAGCCACCCCGCCCACTGCAAAGGAAACCTCTTAAAGGCCAAATCCCATTAGGCACAAGTTGGAGTTACCTTAAAAGGAAAAAAAAAATGTTTTAGCAGCCTGCAACAACTGTTTTCACAAGAGAATGTAACATATTGCTGTGTTGTGTGAGGCTTCACGCTAAGTATGTGCTAAATACTGGATTAATAGATTGCAGTCAAACTTGTTTGTTTTATTTTTTTACCTTGTTGCTGTTGTAACCACATAGTGTTTACTGTCTATATCCAATATCTATTGAAGTGCAGTAAGCATGTGTTCCAAACAGAGAGTGTGGTGAGAGAGAGAGACTGGTGTGTGGGAGACGGGAACATTGTATTCAGCATGTAAAACCTGTACGATTACCAGAACTTTAGTATGTTTTGTATAAAAATATTTTTCATTACGGAGACTAGAAGTGAGCAGAGAAATACACAAGTGTGACTATACAAATTGTAAAACAGATACTATAATATTTCCTTTTATTTTAGTGTTATTTAGATTTATTACAGATTTCTATTTTTGTCAAAACTTCATGGTTTCTTTCAAGATCTTTTTTGCCAAAACATTTTGATACTGTAGCATTGTACATTTGAAAGTAGCGTGCTAGACTATAAGCCAATGAACTTCTGCACAGACCAACAGGGGGCGTGTGTAGAAGGCAATTTATCAAATCTATTGCACTGCCATGAAAAGGTATGTATAATAATTTGCTAGCCCAAGCAAGCTTATTTTCTTTGCTTGCATTTTTTTTCTTTCTTCCTTCCTTTCCTTCTTTCTTTCTTTTTTGTTTTTCTTCTTCTTCTTTTTTTTTTTTTTTTAACATATCAAGGTTCTCAAGTTGTTTTCTTTGCAATCTCTAACCCCTTCTTTGGTTTTCTGAGACCTGGTAACCCACGTTCTTGCATTGTGGATTTTAAAATGTACACTTCTGTACGGTTCTGTAAACTGTTAACCTTTGTAAATATATAAATACAAATAGACATTAAAATACTGTATGTGACAGCACATAGGGTAGTTTTCCCACACCAAAGTTAATTTCTATGCATGCTTTAAAAGTATATATCAGGATGGGCAGAAAGGGGACTGACTCTCCATACATTTTTAAAAAGCCACAAGTTTGCACAGTTAGAGTGTTTTTGTAAATAAATGTATTTGTATAACACAGTCATGTAATATACAAAACTATAAGCAGAGACTTTGCAAAACTAAAAATAAAATAAAGGGCTGCATGCTTACTATTTTTTTGTACCGCGTCACTATAACTACTTCCTAGTCAAAGAATAAAATGTAACCGTTCCCAAGTTAAATGTTGTTGGCTTTAAGGGATGTAACTACCCACGTCCATTCCGATGACACTACTCTTCTAAAAGCTCTGGGTGATTATGGATGAGTTGCTAATAAATGAATTGCAAGTGTGGTGCCTTGGATGTGACCTTCTGACTCATTGCTCTGTGGCTTAGAAAAGCAAAAGCTGGATACAGAGTTTCTGCTCTCATGTACCAGGGGCTGTTGTTATTTTCTTTCTTTTTAAAACATTTCTAGTAGACATAAAGTGGAAATAAAATGTCTTTATCACTAGGGCTTTTTCTTTTCTTTTCTTTTTTTAGTCTTTGTTCTCAGTTTTTGTTCTTGTTTTTGTTTGTGTTTGAAACAGAGTCTCGGCTCGGCGCCT